CATTACACACAGTGATCGCACAGACAGTGGTCATCAATTCTAGTAATAACAGCAAGCAACGCATTAGCATATTAGTAGCGTCAGCAAAAATAGAAGGAAATCATAATTAGCAATGGGTTTGAGATTTCAACAATTGAAGAAGCTGTGGCTGCTCTACCTCTTTCTACTATTCTTTGCATTCTTCATGTTTGCGCTCAGTATCAATCTCTATGTGACCAGTATACAAACAAATGATCAGGATAAAGTGTAAGTGTATATTTGAATATTTATAAATTGGAACAGGTGTTTGTGCTACAAAAGTAGTCCACGTGCCATATATGGCGAATAAAGTGCTAATAAATTGCAAATTGCTTAAAAACCGTTACAACCGCATTTTTGGCAAGAGTATTGCAAGTAAGCCACGCTTCTTAGTGCTGTGTAATGTGCTGTGGCAACRGACCATCACAGTTGAGCGCCTTCATTTAATTGTATTCCACTATTTAGCAATTCTATGTAAATTTTAATTGTTTCTTTTTGTTTTTTTCTTCACGCGTTCGCAATCACCATTATAACAACGCAACACTTAGCCATCCAAAACCGCAACCGCGTCGCCGTTCGCTATGGCATCCGAAGAACATAGTGGCCCATTATATTGGCAAAGGCGATATTTTCGGCAATATGACTGAAGGTAAATAAAAAACATTTTTTATGAAACTTATAACGAACTAACCACTAAAAATGCAGTGTCTATTTATTTCTTTTTATATTTAATTTAATTTATTTTCATATGAATACATTATTATGCACACATTTTGTGTGGGCYTACTAATCAATATTTCTAAAACTTCGTTTAACATCAGAAACTTTTTTCAGATGACTACAACGTAAATCTTTTCAATCCCATCGTTGGCGAGGGGGCGGAGGGCAGACCGGTCGTGGTACCAGCGCGCGAAAGCTTCCGCATGCAGCGTTTCTTCAGACTAAATAGTTTCAATATTTTGGCCAGTGACCGCATACCCTTGAATCGTACATTAAAAGATTACAGAATAAAGGAGTAAGTGAAGTGCACAATAGATCAATGACCATAAACAATTAAACAAATCAGCGAACAAATCAAGCAAACATTAGCAGCTTATTCATCTCCGTCAGTGCCAAAAGGCAGTGATTATTAAGCCTAATAGCGTTTAACAACAAGTTTTCCACTCATACATATGCATATAAATTTTGTGCARTGGCCCTGAGTTGCTGACRAAGCATAAAATCGTTTAACAAACAAAATCWTCAAATCATTTACGCTGTCGCACACACTTAATTAGCTTTATTTTCATTTGTCTCTTACACAGGTGTCGCGACAAGAAATATATCAACAACGAGCTGCCCACCACATCGGTGATTATAGTTTTCCATAATGAGGCTTGGTCGGTGCTGTTGCGCACCATAACGAGCGTTATCAACCGATCGCCGCGTAAATTACTCAAAGAAATCATACTAGTCGACGATGCAAGCGAACGCTGTAAGTGTCATCAGAAATAAAAACAAATCACTCCAACAGTAAACGAAAACTGCATTGCAACCTAAAACATTGTTGTATTTTGCATATCTGCAGCTAATTTGTTGCCTGCTGCTGCAAAGCAGAAATTTAAACATTTTACAGTTGACCTTTGTTTGAGCTAGTTTAACCTTTCGCTTTGCCTTACAGCTTATTTGAAGAAGCAACTCGAGGCCTACATTAAAGTGCTCACCGTRCCAACGCGCTTGCTGCGCATACAGAAACGCGGCGGTTTGGTGCCAGCGCGTTTGCTCGGCGCCGAGCATGCCAAGGGTGATGTGTTGACCTTCTTGGATGCGCATTGCGAGTGTACACGCGGCTGGCTGGAGCCGCTGCTGCAACGTGTGAAAGAGTCGCGCAACAGTGTGGTAGCGCCAGTGATTGATATAATTTCCGATGATAACTTCAGTTATACGAAAACTTTCGAGAATCACTGGGGCGCCTTCAATTGGCAGTTGAGTTTTCGCTGGTTCGGCAATAAGCGCAGCATAGCGCCAGCCAATGCTGATCCAACGCAGGCAATCGCATCACCGGCAATGGCTGGTGGACTCTTTGCAGTGGACAAACGGTACTTCTTTGATATTGGCGCGTACGATAAGGAGATGCGTGTAAGTTTGCAAGTTTTGCATGGTATTATTACACGACATAATATATCTTTTTATATACCTTGCAGATCTGGGGTGGCGAAAACGTTGAAATGTCCTTTCGCATATGGCAGTGTGGTGGGCGCATCGAAATCTGTCCCTGTTCACATGTCGGCCACGTATTCCGCAGCACCACACCATACACCTTCCCGGGTGGCATGAGTGAAGTGCTGGGGAACAATTTGGCGCGTGCGGCCATGACTTGGATGGACGATTGGCAATATTTCATACTACTCTACACATCCGGTTTGTCGTTAGAGACACGTGAACGCATAGATGTCACTGAGCGCTTGTCACTGCGTGAGAAGCTCAAATGCAAGCCATTCTCCTGGTATTTGGAGCACATCTGGCCGGAGCATTTCTTTCCCGCACCAAATCGCTTCTTTGGCAAAATAATCTGGCTTGATGGTGAGACAGAATGTGCGCAAGCGTACACGATGCACATGAAGAACATACCAGGACGTCGTTTGTCACGCGATTGGTCACGCATATTCGAAGAGATCGACAATAATGCAGAGCAATTTATGTCACTAATCGATTTGGATCGCGACAAGTGCTTGCGGCCGCTGGAGAGAGATGTGCCGCGCACATCAGTGCAATCGGTCACWGTTGGTGACTGCAATGTMCATAGCAAATCTATGGATATGTATGTCATAACRCCGAAAGGTCAAATAATGACCAATGACAACGTGTGTCTGACATATAGTGAGCCGAAACTTGGCGTCATACAGCAGCTGAAGAGTCGCAATTTAACCAGCAATGTACAGCTAACCCAGTGCCTGGACGATCCGCGGCAGTTTTGGAGTTACGACATGGATGTTAGTAGAAGGGTGTTTTAATGGCTAAATAAATGTTTCAGTTTTATTGTTTATTTTGCAGACACAGCACATTTCACATCGCGAATCGAAGCTCTGCCTCATGCTGAAGGCAGCCAAAATTCCACGCACTCAAAAAGTGGAGAAAATCGTTGTTGCCATTAATTGTGATTACAAAGACATCACGCAGAAGTGGGGTCTCATACCACTGCCATGGAGAGTTTAAAAAACTTTATACAAATACACAAACAAACACAACGCAATTAGCAAAAAAGAAGCAAATTATAAAAAAAGAAACGATATGAAAGCACGGATTTGCACAAGCAATTAAAAATGCCAATTAAATTAAACAATTTTAGTATACAATTAGAATTAAACAGTTAAGTAGTAAAAGTGAAGTGCGATGAAACGTAGAAAAACTTGTAGTGAATTACATATGTATGTATATAATATGTATATACCAGCGCCGTGTGCTTGTGATATTTTTTATTTGAACATTTCGGAGATAAAAATACGAGTTTTTATGTTCGTACAACACGAACGGGACACCAGAATATAAGCTACCAAAACCACCAGTTTGTGAAAAATCGACAAAAATAACAATAACATCAACAAAAACAATAACCACCAAGCAACATCATCMATACTTTACCCACGAAATATATGTATTTATATATGGAATTACATACCTGTTTGACTTACTGTAGGCGTTATTTACTAAATTATACTACACTATTTATTTTAAAACTATTTTATATGAAATTTTGTAAACAACAAAAAAAAAACACTTATAAATTATGCATACACTTTGCATACCTATTATAAAAACTAATTTATATTTTCTAGCTTATAAGTTTTTACTTAAGCCTAGCGGGAAAACATATACTCTTGCTGCTTAAGTCGTCAGTTAACTATATGCTATTAAAAGAATTCTAAGCTTTGAATTGCTATCGCCGCTAATTATTACTACTGTTGCTAGTAAAACGAAATAAATTGTTTTTCCAAGAAAAAAAAATATATATAACCTGAAACCAACGTCTTCATTACTTCCATGCAAGCAGATGCCCATCAGACAACAACACTTTGGCATTAATATCATTTAAATTTGTTTAGTTATAATTACATATTTATATTTAATGTATGCGCTCTCGTAAACGTGCAAAATGTTCGCCTGAGTATTAACGAACAATGAACGCTTACGCCGCTTACCGTATTAATAGCCAAATCTTATGAGTTAGTGTTTGTTAGTGTACTGCATATTAATATTACTCATTATCAGTAATGAAGTTCATTAACATGCGCTACTTGATAGGAGACGATACAGCAATATTTATGTACATTTAACTACATACCCAATAAACCAAATAGGGATTTAAATGCTCTGTAATTCAAATCAATTTGTCGTCAATTTTATGGTACGGTACGCAAATAAACCATAAAAACCAAACTGAATGATCAAACACATGCTCTTGTGTGGAATTTTTTTTTTTTTTTTTTTGTTTTTTTTGAGATATCTTCAAGAAATTTGGAGTGGATTAAAATTCAAGGCAACGATATAATCTCACACGAAAATATTGCGATCGGATGAGTATAGCATATAGCTGCCATACAAACTGACGGATCATCACCATCAATAAGATATGCACCTGTAAATGGTATTATAGCWGCGGTGCATCCGAAGTTAACGATTATTCTTGTATTTTTGTTGTTATAGCAGTGGTGTAAAAACACGAAAAATAGCTTTGCGCTCCATTCTGGCTACCCTGTTGAGACGGTGAAACCTTTCATCAAACTTTCATTGTTATATTAGCAGCTGCTTTATTCAATTAGCAGTTAAGTCATTCTTACATTTTTCTTTATTTTTGATCTTTTCTCTCCATACATCACATATGCCGGCGTCAAGCGCTCAAACAACTCYTTTAATCAATACAAAAATGTTCGTTGGGCATAAAACAAAAAATAGAATAATAATAAAATATCGCCCGGTGTCATTGACAAGCCATGTTCAATATTTATTTCTTTGCATACAATTTTCTGACACCGATTTCAGTAACAACTTCGAGCCGTAAGGAAACAAATCTCAAGCATATTTTAAATATTTCATAYTTTACGTTCATTAATTTACATAAATTACGGCGGTCCAGGTTAAATCAAGCGAAACTACAAAATAAAATAAAAATGAGTGTGATTTTTACGGCTGTCAAGTGTTTCGTCTTCGCTTTCAATTTCTTTAGTTTGGTAAGTGTTTTGCGCAAAAGAAAAAAAGTAAATATGAGAGCAAAAATGAAAAAAGCCGTTGTGTGCAATTGTGCTTAAGTATTGTTGTYGGCATTCTACGAGCATTTTGCAAACTTTCTTTGTTAGTAATTGTGTGACCCATTTATTATTTATTATTGTTTATTTATTTCTACACTCATTGCGCTAATTTCTCCACTACTTTTTTGCAGTTGCTGGGCATTTGTATTGTTTGCTTGAATATTTTCGGTTTGGAGTTTGCCGTGCGGAATACCGATGAGCACACGTACTGCATAGTTGGGATCATATTGGGCTCATTCGTATGCATGTCCACATTATTCGGCTGTTATGGCGTCATCTGCGAGTCGTTGGGCGTCAATGTGATTGTATGTTTCGCTTTAAATTTKTATTGCGTTATTGATCTATTAATTATTTATGTATTACTGAAAAAATGCAACTTGTAGTACTCGTTCTTTATGCTGATGTTGTTATGCACGCAGTTGTTGCAAATGCAGACGTATAAACATCAGAAATTCTTCATAAATGCTCTAGATCTATTGGAGGATGCCTGGGACGATGTGGATGTGGATCCGAATGCAATGCAGTCGGTGGAGATAAATGTGAGTGTGTTACAAGTATTTATCTAGAAGTTGT